GAGAGTTTTATACATTCACATCTGTATCCTAAGGGAAATAGGTCCCATATTATCCCTCTCAGTGTGACCCACGAAGTATACATAAACTTGTTGTAGGAATCTCTTTAGATATATTTTAGTGTCAGTGAATCTCCAGCTAGTGACTGGTATTTCAATGCAGAAGACCCTGTTATCCAGTATCTTAGATTTTTATTTGCATTGAATAACTTTTTGTATGTATTGACTTTAATCCTATGGAGATTTATGCATATGCTTACACCGATGTATGAAAAACAGTTCTGCAACATGTTGTGATCAGTCTTCATGGAATAAAAAAAAATAAGCAGCTTTCAAGCTCAAGGTTTAGGTCGTAAAATTATTCTGGAAATGTGTGGTGATGCTTACAAGGATAAGGAAGTTTATCCTCGCTTTATAAAAATTCTGTTAAAGCCATCTACCTTTTGTTTGAAGTTTATGCTTTTTTGAAATTTCTATCACACTGCAGACAGTATGCTTGAATTTTTACACTAGAGGTACCCGTAGAGGAAAGTGATGTTCACAGGAAAGATAACTTGATCTTAAAAATAAGCTGACATTTTGACTGGCCTTATTGATTGACCATTTGGTACAGAAAAAAATACTTGGAAATAACATACTTCAAGAAATGGCAACTTCTGCTGTGCACTTCATTACCACATGCTACAAAATAGTACTTTAAGAGATATACTTCAGTCTAAGATTTTTCATAGGAAAGGGCATTCACCATAATAATTTCTAAGCTGTTCTACATTCACGGTTGTATTACTGTAACCACGGAGTACCTGTGTAAGTAACCAAATGCAGTACCAAATGCTATTCATATGAACTTGCCATTTTAGTACATGATCAGGCCAGTACTGTTACCAGTTCTCCCATAAACTCTATTAGTTTTGCTCATTGGTGGGGATTTTTGGTTATCAGCTTTGAATCAGTTATCCTACTGTGTAGTTTACTGACCTTTCATGCAGCTATAGCTCCCCCAATGCTATCTTTCTTTAGAATCTACTGTGCAGCTCATTTTTCTTATATACTCAAGGAACAACAGAAGACAAGTAGCTGCTTAGACTATGCCCATTTCTACATAACAGGCATTTGCACCAATTCATAAATGAAGTGACATCAATGCATGTTTATCTGGGTAAGGCGTGGGATGTGAGTCCAGGGCAGATGAGCTGACATATAAAGGTCACATCAAGCTCATTTTTCTGTTTCTGTGATTTCTAAGAAGAGGGGGTGGAGGATAAATCAGCATATCGGAAGTATGTTTACTCTCTTATTTTCAGATCTCGTGTATTGGTGCCCAGCAATGCCAGCTGAATGTGGATTCAGGAGTTGGGGGAGGACTATCGGTCACCTAAGCTCCCTTTACTTGGGCAGAGAGAAATAATGGTAGTCCTTCAAGCTATATTCCTGAACTACACTAATTTGCTTTGCAATGCAGGGTGTGACCGTGAAACCCCTCTGCAACTAGAGAGGCAGCTGGCTTTACAGAGAGCCTTATCTAGAGCAGTTTGTCATAGTTAATAAGGAAGGCACTTCAAGATGTGACATAGTTAAATCAGTTTTCAGAAACTGATTTCAAGCAAGCTCTTTTACAGGATACATCTTTCGTTATTGGTACTAATTGCTTGAATGCCAGATATCTAGAGGAAGAGGTGAGTAAATGGAAAACAGTGTTACAGAAAAAAAACAGTGAAATATGTAGGAATCAAAGCAGCTGGTAGAGCCATGTGACATTAGATTTGCCAAGTACAATTTGTATTCTCTCAGGTTCTGTATTATCTGCCAAATATTACCTTAACTTCTCAGAATCCAGAAGAAAAATAACCTTTGTCCTTATTTTTGCACAGTATTTGCTAATGTTTCATATTCTTACTAATTTTTAATTAATATTCTATAGCCTCCTACTTGCAGTCTACTACTGATAAGCCTAATAATGAGAAACAAAAACACCCTAGGTAGTTACTCATAGGAATATTAAGCACAGCTGCTTGGGCAGTCACACATTGCACTGACTTTGTGCAACAGAATTCAAAGGGGCAGTAACAACCTTAAAGTATAATAAAAGCAAGGCATACTAATGTATGCATCAGGGTAATACTTTAATAACTAATGCATAGTGAAGAATACAAAAGCACATAACTGAATTTTTTTGAAGGCCTAGATCACAGCTGCAACTAGACCAAGTCGGGAGGAATGTCAGAGAGCTCCTCTTTGCGTTCTCTGCCAGAAACATTTTCTGCCTCGGCTTCTGTGCATCACGCCTGGTGTAAACCAAGCACGAGGGTGGTGTAAAAGGCTCCATCTGTCGTGTTGGCTCAGATCCACTTGACAGAAGCCAGAACCCATAAGAGATGAGAAATCAGAATTGTGAACCCACTTCCTCCTCTCCCTAATTTGCCCTTCCCCAGTTTGTACTTCTCCAGGAGCAAGAGAGGCAGTGTCTTGTTCTAGTTGCTGCTTGCAAAATGAGGGGAGTGGGGATGCTTCATGCATCTTCCTCAGTCCTCCCATAACAGCACAGGGACCACTCACAATTTAGACTGAAGGAATTAAAATTCTTAAAGAAAGAAAATGTTTTCCAAAGAATGGTAGAAACCAGTCATTTCACCACTTCAGAAAGCCAACGTACACTTCCTGGCTGGTTGCTCTGCCTCAGGCTGGTTTCAGTTCAGTATTCAGAAAATGCCAGGCAAATAGTAAATCAAGTTCCAGTTAGAACAGTCCTTGCAAAAGGCTGGGGTAGCAAAACATTTCTAGATTATGCAATGTCTTTCTAGGCAGTAGGAATGCAAAGACTCAGTCTTGTCAGTAGGTTCTTGTTGAGATGTGAACTGTTAATTACAGGGCTAATCATCCCCATGGAGCGCCTATGCAGTGCTACCTTAGCACGGTAACAACTTATCAAGATAACTCAGAACCGCTTATATTCTTTGTTATTTTCTAAACAAAGCTTTTGCTCTGGACTTATGGTAGCTCCTCTTTAACTCAGTCATGATATGGTCACAAAATAGATAGGGCCCTTTTACAGCCATATTGATCCCAGTCAAGGACAGAATGGAGTTGTACACTTTCCACGTGGAGTTCAAATAGTAAACAAAAGACTTGTTTTGTAGGAAGCACATCCTGAGGCTGGAGAAACTTGGATTCATTCTGGGTGGCAATTCTTCCTGTCTTTGACAATACAGAGCAATTTGGTATTGCAAGTCCACACTGACATCTAGTGCTGAAAAAATTGCACTAGCCAATGAGGAAACAAAGAAGAAAAAGATGTTGGATTGGAATGAAAAATCTAAAAATATAGCAAATCATCCCTCCTGCTTTATGAAAATGACAGTCTGTGGGTCTGTCCAGTGGGCAGGAGGTGCTTGGCTCCATGAACTTGGGTGCTATGGGGACATCCCTTAGAGAAATGCACAGGGTACCAGGTCTGACACCCAGACAGCATAGCAAGCCCTGGCTGCCCCTGAAAACTGCTCTTGGGGACATGAGCAATCTAGAGCTGTGACTTATTTTAAGTTTGGTTTTTAGTCACTGCTATTGTAGGACTTGGTCTGGAGCTACATAACTAATAGACCACTGCTGCCAATGGCCTGGTAATCTTGATTTTACAAACAAAGACTTCACAAGGATGAAATGTTCTCACCTTCCAACCTGAGAAGAGAATTTCCAGGTACATTTGGAAGATTCCACACTCTAAGGTTTTTCTAGGGAAGGGGGTCATTTGTTTAACAGTAGCTTTTAGTCCTTGATATTCTCTTACTTCCAATTTTAATACAAAACATTCTCATCATTTTTACACACACACAAAAATTTGCACTTTATAATATTTTATTATGCCTTTAAGGGCAGGCAAAGATTGTAAAACAAAATATTTGTGATTTTTTAATCATAATTTCTATCTTCCATGGGAAAGTAAGAAGTAATCATAATGTACAGAATAATGAGTGTTTTTCAGTATCTTAGCTGCCAACACAGTTCCTCCCCTGTCACCAGGGAAATGGTTAGATTAAAACCATGTGCTCTGTGTGCTTCAGAATTGAAATATGCATGTTAGTGTTGTATAAATCATCAAAGGAGATGAGCAGAAGGACAGATCCAAAGCCACCAAGATCAATGGACTTTTTTTTTCCCGTTAAATCCCAGGAGCTTTGGATCAGGTCCCAGAGGATGTCAGAGCTCTGCCAGCCCTACTGAAAAACTGTAGTCCAAATGCTGGTGTGCTATTTGGCAAGCCACAACCATAAGGTTAAGCAGAGGTTGCTAGATGTATCCTCCATGGAGAGAATCCTGGTGTTGGTGAGTACAATTTCACAGCAGGACCCAGCACAGGGGATTTCTTGTCTCTCTGCGTGGAGGCAAAGCAAGTCTTACCCTACCAGTCATTGCTATGTGGGAGGGGATCCTCTTCCTCCAGAAACCCTACACTGTGCATTGAGGCACATGGGCAAGCTGTATCTCCCACCATTTTGTACTACCTGGGGAATAGCTCTTACCTCCTCACCTTTCACAGCACAGCAAGCAACAAATGGCAGGATTTAGCCCTTATTGCCTTGTGAGTGTGAAAGTCTCAGAAGAAAACATAGTTTTTTCCCGTCCATAGGAAAAAACCCTTCCTCCCCTTATAGTCAGAAAGCCCAAGTATTCAGATATAATTTCTTCCTTCAATTTTTGCAACTTTTAATTTTTCTGAGAAATAATTACATACAAGTAAGCATGTTGTCACATCTAGGCTGCATTCCGCCCCACCCAATCTCTTGTAATCAACAACAGTATGCAGATTTTAGAAATGTTTCAGACTTTTGTGTCTGGGTTGGACAGATTGGGATGTGCAGGAAGGATTGGCAGACCCAATTAGACAATAAGTAGCATAAGTAGCTGTCAAAAAGTAAGGCTAAAGTAGGAGAAAGCATGTGGCATCTCTCACTAGATAAGCTAGAATGATTGGCATATTCAGTCAGAAACACTCGTTTTCTGATTTAATGGGGGCTTAAGACAAATTGTCTCGCAGCTGAGACCATGCAAATCAATCATTAAAATGTCAGGTTAGAGTCTGATGCCAGTTTAAATTCCATTAATATCAGTGGAATTGCACCAAATTTATCTATCCAAATTTATAGGGTGCAAAATTTGACCCATAACAATGATTAGGAGCATGCAAAGCATGCAAAACTGTATCACATGTATAGAATTTCCTTGAAATAAAAAGCAATAGAATAGTGAAGCCAAGAATGTAGAATAGACTAGAGTAGAATAGAAAAATAAGGAAAAGGAACAGGAAAAGGAAAAGGAAATGGAAAAGGAGATGAAGGGGACAAAGGAAAGAGGAAATGAAAAGGGAAAGAAAATGAAACACTGAAAGAAATGCCATGAAAAGAATGCAGGAATTTAGGGAAATTCCCTGAAGACATTTAAAAACATGGGGGGGGAAGTTCTAAATGTATATTAATAGAATTGAATTAAATCACTTCAACACTGCTGTCGTCATATCATGTTCCTGTCCATCCTTTCCTGTTCAGCTTCCAAGAAGACCCAAAGGACATGCAATCTGGTGGTAGTGAATTATTCAAGAAGATGCCACTAACATTTTAAAGGTGACTAGTTTACAGAGCATATTTGATGCAGTGATTGAACATCCAGTACAAATATATTCAGCTGACATTAGTTCCTAAGCCTTTAGGAACAAGACTGTATGGAAATCAGTGTTTTTTTCATTATGGTACTAGGCAATAACAGATACATCCCCAGCTAACAGCACTGACTTGCTTTATGCAGAACGCTATTTATTGTAATAAAATTTTGAATATATTTTGGAGACCAGTGAGTTAGGTTGAATGGTAATAATTTAGCATTCCATACTTTAGATTAAATCTCGCACCTGATCTTTTGCCTTGTGCTTAGGAGTGTTGTTTAGTGAAGGGAAAACTCCTGTTCATACAAAACCAGCATGAGTCAGGGCTACTTTTCAACAAGGGTTGGGGGACCACAACCCAAATCAAAGGGCCCCTATTGACCCTTTTAGTGACTCAGTGACTCAGGATTTCAACAAATTCCCAGTTTGGGGTAAAGGAGGAGCTTTGGTAAAGCAGTAGACTGGTTTTACAAACAGTTGCTGCCCACAAGACAGGAGTGACAGGGTTTTGGCAATGTACAAACCCCTGCTGCAGCAGATCAAGCTGGGGTGGCTGACACAACTACCAACCTTGCCTGATTGTGCTGCCCTTATCTTAGAGGCTGGCATCCTTGCCTGGAGCTGACAGAAGGACACAGACAGCTTGATGTGTTCAAGTAAAGCAAAAAATATGTCAGTCAGGAACAGTGGCAGTTCCGAAGCAGCTGTGTGACCCTTCAACACCCTCCCGTGTGAGGCTAGAAGGGGTGAAAGAGCCCTGCTTTATTCCGTTGCCACATCCAAGTTAATATCCTGATACTTCAAAATTTGGCTATGAACAGCTTCTAATTCAAGCTGGCTGTCCTCAGCAACAAAGAAAAATGTAAATGCACACTGATGGTTATGCAGTGCGCTGTTTTAGACAATGATGGTGGAGGCAAAGAATGCTTTAGAAAATTCACAAATGCATAATAATAAAAGCCCTTGAACTGAAGAAGCTGATGAGCCTTTTTTACTCTTTTTTTAACTCCCTCGCTATATTTTGAATAATTCTTGCCTTTATCTGAAAATGGTTCTTTCCAGAATCCTTTCAGATTTCAGACTTCATTTAAAATCACATTTGATGATCTGATAGTTTGTTCTGTCTGACAATATTACAGTGCTGTTTTCATCAGCTGCAACCCACCTGATCTGATGTGCCTCAACTAATAGTGCTCAATCCAGGCCTTTGATTCAGGTCCCTATTTGCAGTGTAGACTGAAGGAGAAATTTTAATGCACTTCCATATTTATGAAGGGCATTTTGCAAAGAGAAGAGAAAAAGCCAAGCTGAATAAGGATGCTAAAAATTATTAAAAATATGTTGTAAAATCAAAAATTATTTACATGAAGAATATCTTCACAGTGGAAAAAACTGGAAAGAGGGTATATCTTCCATTGGAAGAAACAGGAAAGAGGGTACAATGCTTGGAGAGCAGCAGCATTGATTAGAAGAAAACTTGTCCTTGATTTTCATCTATCTGGCTTGATTATTTGGACAACTTATAAGTCACTTTGACTCTAGTTCATTCAGTTCCTCTCTTTCTACTCCCTACCTCTTTATCATTTTGTCAGGATAAAACACATTACAAATTGCAAGAAGCTCACACAGTAAGTAAAAGTATGTTAATAAGCACAGAAGGTGAATACTTTTTGTACTATATCCCTATGTAAGAAAAGCTTTGTAAATATAGAACTTTCAGGAAAGCCATGGTATCCAAGTTATGGAAATGCCAGTCACAAAAAAATTGCCACTAATGCTCGCATGCTAAGCAGAGCCATGAAGCACAGAACGTGCAATAAATATTTCTGAAAAAATACCTTGTAAGTTCATATACTGCAGGATATATCTGAAAAAACGAGTCGTAGAAATACTTCATCATGTAGAGATTGTAGTGGCCTGAGAAGCCACTTCTCAGTTCACCTGACAATTTATAGATATGACCTATACTGGAAGAAAATAAATAAATATTTTTTCCAATCAGCAGCTGATGTAAACCAAACATGTTTACTGTTAATGCTGCTGTCACAATTAATCACAAAGGCCCAGAAATCAGATTGTGCAGAACCTAATATTTTACATTAATATCACTGTGTGGTATGTATTAGGGCTTTCTCAGATAGGAAATTAATTCTTATTAAAATTTCTTGTGGGCGTTAAAACTGAAGTAATGAGACAAGAATGAGATGGGAGTCCAGAGGCAAATGGGGTGGAGAGGTTTATATAAAACAGCTCCTTAATAAACAGTAGAAGAAAGCTCATGAGAAAGGAGCAATATGCCAGATGGAAACAGCTTTGCCTGTTTCCTGAATAGAGTCTTTCACCCCATTTTAGAGAGGTAGGGTGAAACATTGTCAAGGCTGATCAGACCCACACACTCAGTAAAGAATTTGATCTGTCTCTATTACTGCTTGCTAACTGAACTGATTGCCAACTCAGACCACTGGTAGAAGTTTAATTATCATCCCTGTTTTCATTATAAGCTGCTGGTCCTTGGGGGTTTATCACTTCAGTTTTTAAGGCCTTTCTGTGAGTGGTTTGGTCACAGAGGTAACAGAACTAGATTGATTTAGAAACAGATTTATCCAGACTGCTGCTGAAATTGTGGTTAAACTAGCTTGACATACCTCTTCACCTCTTTCTGTAACACACATGCTAAAAATCCTGCCCTTATATTTACCAGAGTCAAACATAACTGGAACCATGTTAATAGTCTTTGCAGAAAAATCTCACTAAGATACCTCTTTGAGGGGTGTAGGGTTAATCTGGAATCTCTTCATGAGGCTACAGCCTGGCACATGGCCAATGTGCAGGTCAATTGGTCAATATTTGCAAGAAATCCTGAATTATATTCAAAATTTTGGTTCTCACAGAGCTCAGAAGATCCTTTCCCTGTCCTCCTCTTCCAGATCTGGAATGTGCCAGTCTCCCAGTTCTACTGGCTAATAAAGATCTGAAAGCATAGTTGTTACTGAGAGGCTTGCATGTCTTTCACATACCAGCAAATGCATATGCCTGAAAAGTGAGAACCTAGAAGGATATAAAGTAGATTTCTCTAGACAAGTATTGCCTTATGCTGGTTTTCAAAAAACATGGTGTTTTTTAAAATTTTTTTTCCTCCTCAAAAATCAAAGAGGTTATAGAAAGGGTGATTAGTTCCTCTTCTTCTCCACAGCAGACTGTGCTTTTGAAGTCCTTCCAGAGTACTTGTCATCACAGTGCATGTAACCTAACTGTTCAGGTCTTTAGAGGGCTACAATATATCATTCTGGAAGCTGTAATTATATGGTTACAAATCCAGTATGTTGTGTGGCTGTTTGTGTAGGTAAATTTTGTATAATGCTTCCCAGAAAATGTTTTGATAGTGGGAAGAAAGAATTTGGAATTGACAAACCAGGTTTTCCTAGGCCAAATTGTTCAGGTTTATCCCCTCAGGATCCATCTCCACAGTAGGTTTGATTCAAGTGAGCAGCCGACCTAGCCAGAGCATGTGCAGCCACAGCTGCATTCGAGTGCCATCACCCACTCAAATGGAGGAGGAGGAGAGGAGGACAGGCAAAGAGAGGTGGAAGAACTGTACAAGCAATTTGGTTATCATTTCTGTTTGGTGTCAGAACTGCTGTGGTTATATCCCAAAGGTCTCAGCATTATACTAACCCAAGATACTCTGTCATTTGTTTCAAATGAACCACAGGCCATAACTAGAAACCCCCCATTTTAAATGGTTTTCCTGCAAAATGTCCCTCCTCAAGTTGCCAGTGTGACTGTTGACAGCAGAAGGATTTTGGGTTATGACCCAGCCTAGTGCAGTGTAAAGGAAACACGCGGATGAACTGGTCTGTACTTGTGGACACATTTGGGTGTAGCAACCCAGCTAGTGCCCCGAGTGACTCCTCAGGGATGGCTGGCCTTTGAGCCAGATGTTGCCATTTAACGGACATCTCTCGATAGCCAAAGCCAGGATAACAGACAAATGGGGGATCAACTCCAGTTGCCTATCCTCATTTGTCTTCTTGTCACGGCTCTCTGGCTTGCTGATACGTTACCCTGCTGATTTGCCCACCATGCCTCAGGCAATGCCCCCGTCTCAGGAGACATCTATAAACCATTTGTGGATCCAAAGAGAATCCGTTTTAGCATATAGGGATATGCGTTATCCAGCCTACCCAGGATGAATTTTAACTGGTGCATAAGCGCTGTGTAATCATTGTTTTGTATGCTATTTACGCATGTTTTATAAAGATACCGCCCTCTGCATAGCTGGGGTGTCCCTCCATTTGTATGGTAATGATCAGTATTTAGGGGGCCTTTTCTGCTCTGCTTCTTACCCAGCCCCGGTCCCTCTGATAGCTGAGCAAGACCCACAACAGGAGATCCGCTAATGAAGGTAGGCGAGATGAGGACAAAGAGCCCAGACATACCTATTCAAGGAGAAATCTGCATCTGAAAGTGCCTGCTGGAAATGGGCGAGATGCCAAACAGCAGGGAGAAGGGGGACGCTCTGGAATATAAAGAAGGGCATACTATTATGTTTTCCTGTCTTTAAGTCACTGGTTATTTGTACCAAAAAAAAAAAAAAAAAGGAAATAAACAAGGGGAACCGTTTGATTTGGCAGCAGCACATTTTATATCCATATCCCAGCAAATGCAACACCCCTTCTCTCCCACAGACCTACCTGCTGCTGTCACTCTTCTTCTAATATTGCAAGCATTCTCCTGTTCCACCTCTCCACAACCATTCTCCGGTTCCATCTCTCCGTAACAGAGCCTCTACCAACAGCTGATAAATGTGCTGGATTTGCAGTTGCCCCAGGATGCAGCAGTCAAGGCTGTGCTATCTGAGCAGGTAGGTGACTTAAGCTCTCATTTTCAGGAATCACTGCCTTTTGGGGAGCGTAGGTTACGCAGCTGAACACATGATGCCTACACTTCAGGTCACAGCAATCACCATTGCTCAAGAGCCCTTGCTGTTACAGTTGAAAGGGGTTTTGTTTTACTGTTTCTGAGCATGCTGCCATGCTGCTTTTCCAGTTCTGCTTCCAGCCATTCCTATGGTGCCTAGGTCTTTCCCATTATAATTTCTGCATGTCCTGCTGCCTCCAAGAGACCCCGGCAGCCTTTAGGTCCCAATGTTTAATAGTATCCCCTGCTGAACACAGGTCCAAACACGCAACTCGTGCCAAAAGAGAAAGTGGGAATCATCTCAGCAGCAGACTATGGCAGCAGAAAGTTGATCAGTACTCACATTCACAGGGGACAAGCTGCAGCAGCAGCCTGGATGACAGGTAGAAATGACATGCCCAGCCAGAATCAGTGGATACAGTAATGCTGGAGAAGAAGCCTGTGATCTCCCTCCCCTACTTCTCTTATGGCAGCTAGGCTGGTTAATAGCCAGCAACCCTCTTCAGGAAAAAGAAAAAAAAAATATTATGTGTAGGCCCAGAGTGAAAGAGTTCAACTGGAAAAGACCATCTTCCCCCAGCAACCCATTATGCTTAGCTCTAAACCCAAAGTTCAGCATGGTGGCAGGAAAGCAAATTTGATAACAGCATGTAAATCATGTGCCAGTGGACCTGGGCTGAGAACCTGCTATCTAAATCTCAGCTTCCCCTGTGCCAGAAGCATCCCAGCTGAGACTCATCCAGGATTAATCTGCAAAGACTAAGAAAGAGAAGGAGCAATGATTGACATGGTAATACAGCATCTCCCATGCAAAAATGCCCTCAACCGCCTCCAGCATTTTCATAACCAAATACACACCTTGTTTTGCACTATAAAGAGTATGGGAATGAAATGTGATAATGAGACATAAAGAGATGCATGTATGAGACAAGCTGTGGACAGGCAGTGAACATAAAAAGAGACATGTACGTGTGCACATATGGGAGAAGTGGCAGATAGGCACTTTCTTATAATCTAGCAACAATAATCATGACAATAACTAAGTTCTGTTATAATTTTCCACCCTCCACGCACCTTTGCATCTCTGGAGAAAAGAAGCAAATGACCAAGTTTTCTATTCAGATTCTTGTAACTAGGCTCCAGTGGTCCCTGTCAAAAATACCCTGTCAAATATCCACTTAAATCATCAGGGAAGTTTGCTTCAGCTGTCTTCCTGCCACTTGTATTCTGTATTTTTTTCTTTATTAACAAGGAGGATGCTTCATGGAAAACCTACAAGAATGCATTTTACAGAGACTATTGGAAAATATCAGTTCAGAATTCACTTTCCACAATCTGTGACACATCCAGTGCTAAAAGCTGCTTTCACTTCATCAGGAATCAGAACCAGTGCCAGACCTGCCTCTGTTTCTTACACTTGCAAAATTAATACCAGTAGGCTTCAGCTCAGAGAGGACTTGAAGAGATTGTCTGGCAAATATTTTCAAATGCTAAATAATAGGGGGGAAATAATACCGTCTGGACAGTGCAGCAGCAGAAAAAGAGGCAATATTTGTTCACTAAATTCTCTTCTAATTATTGACATACTGCAACTAATCAGCATTAGAAGCAAAAAGAAGCTGTAATCTATGAATGTCCTCCTCTTTTTGGACTGTTCCCAGTACTAATTGCAGCAGAGGAGGATTCTGGACTGAAATCCTCTGGCTTTTCACTTAGAGGAACTCAAAGGCTGCACAAAACGTTACAGGTTTTCTGACTTTCTTGCAGCAACACTTTTGCCCTGCCATTTTGTGAGGCTATGGATCCACAGCAACAACCTTTTATCTGAAAGCTTGTTGTAAACTGAACCAACAGTAGCAGATGCAGAAACAGATTTCCCTTGGGAAATAAAATCAAGTCAGTCTGACAGCCATAGTGGCAAGTACTAGCAATGTTCATTGCCCTTGTAAATCTTGGGGATAAACACCCCTAAAATGTCAATGACTGATGGTGGAGATTGAGTAGAGTGTAGGTGTTGTAATACACAGTATACATTCCTGTGCTCTCTCTCAGCCAAAATGGGAATGAATGATCATTCGTATTGGGCAGGGTGTAATTGCCTACGCTGTGTCATGGAGCTCATGGGCAGGCAGTGCTGGGGTGGGTGAAGATGCTTCTACATGAACATGTCATGATAATCAGTCTTCATTGATTCTTTTACTCCCTTATATTTGTTGCTGTCCAGGTGAATGCTTCCTCTTATCTAAGTAGAAATTGTTTATGCATAGTGCAGTGCCAAGATCTGTGTAAACATTAAAATATGGATATGATTCGCTCTTGATGATGGAAGCAAACCCATAGCATAAGAGAAAGAAATTGTTCTATCTCTCTCCACCATGCCATGGACATCTCTATAACAGGCTTGGGGGATTTCTAGTCTGGCTTTGCTCCCTGTTCTAGAGAAACATTTACTTTGCTCCCCATGCTGCAGTCTTGCAGGAGAAGTTGTGCTGGCTGCACACCCCCTTTGGGCTGGGACATGTGCCTGCCTTGTGACACTAAAGTCACCCTCTAGGCAATTTTTTCCTCTCAACCATCCTTCCAGAAACCATCTTTTTGCCCTTTTTGCCTTAGGGGGCAAGGAAATTGCTGGTGGGACATCAACAAAGAGAAGAATTTTACTGGCGAAACCAGCAACCTGCTTTTCATTGTTACTTTTTATTCCTGCCTGGATCATCTTGCAGTTGTTTCTATGACAACAGAAAAATTATTTCTTAACATAAATCAAATTTGTCAGACTTATACTTGTGCATACCACTTGCTGAAGGCTGGGAAAGCAATTCTGAGACCAAAAAGCAGACCAACTGACCCACTCTGAAAATGGAGCTATCAAGGATCTAAAACAGAAAAGATTCCTTGTTTTCCTAGGTAAATTTGTTCTGAGTATTGAATTGTTTTTCTTTTATATTTTGAGAAAGAAAAGCATGAGAAAAGGGTATATCATGAATTAATACACTTATGTTTTAAAGTACTTTGGGACAAATCCACTGTGTTTCTAAGAAAAGAAGCATGAATATTCAGCACATAAACAGCATAGGAAAAGGAGGAAAATAGAAGATTCATAGGAGCTCCTCTTTGGGAAATGTAAAGTTCTAGGCAGTGGGTTACTCTTGCTAATCTAAAATTGGCGGTTAAGAGGCTATTTTAGTTAAGATGTCTCTGACCAAAGGGCCATCCTATTCATCCTGTGGAAGAGAACAAACTCCACCCCTGGGTATGGAGACTGGGCTACAATATGAGCATAGGTGAGCGTTCTGTCCACAGTACAACTCCTATTTGTCTCAAAGAGAAAGTTTCAAAGAATGAACAAAGGCAAAGCCTCATCTTTTGCTACCGAAGGTAATGTACTGTTTATTATCCTTTCACTCTGTTAGTGTTTGATTCAGCAGAACTCAGTAGGAGTGATTCTTCTTCTCTTCCTTCCCATCTTCCTTTCTCTGTTTCTGCTCTACTTCCTTCTTGGCATCTCTCCTTTCTTCATCCTGCTCCTTCCAGCAATTCCAAACCCAGCCTCAACTGCATTTTGGCTTCATTTCTATTCCTCTCCATCTGCTAAAATGCATTCATGTATTATGTATGAAATGTTGACATTTATAATGTTGTCAATAAGGTTTTGAGTCAAAGCCTGAATAGAAACAAGCAATTTGGGCAGCATTTATGTCTCATCAGTATAGTTTCAGACTATTTTTGGACTGAAGAAAGGAAACACTGCACAGTTTGGTCCTACTAGGGAGATTTCCTGAAAAAACATGATGGATAAGAGCATTTTTTTTACTTTAATTGAAGATTAAATGCCAAAGAGTATGGTGGTTCCATGTGGTTAACTCATGAAGCAAGGTGACCCAAGTGTTTCAAGAATACTGTATCAAAGCAAACATACATCAATGCAGTAAAGTGAACATGTAAGTCTTTTGAAATATCCACATACACACATAGGCATGACTGGGAGTGGGATTTTGTTCTTAAAGCTGTAATTCTGCAGCAGTTTAGTATGGCATCTAAGTGAAGATGACTTCCACTTTTCCTTGGATGCTCTCTCCATTCTTCTTTTCACTGATATTTGTGCTATCAGGGATAAACACAAATATCAGGGATACAGGGAACCAGTTAAGGGAGACAAACTAGCAGCTCATTTCATGAGGGGGACAGAGGGGAAAGAAGCATTTCCTTCCAATTTAGCTCCCCAAACCAACTCACTGAAGGATTAGGTATGTTTTTGCCAGTGTGAAGGAGAGACGAAAAATCCAGTCAGCAGTGTAATGAGGCAGAGGGGCAAGTAGTCAAGGGGTAACAACAACCTTGGTCAGGTAGACTCTGACAACTCCAGCTTCAAGTGGGGATTTTGAAAATCTCAGGCATGACTTTGCTGTATCCATAAAAAAACCAGAGCTCTGTCAAACTTGCTTCAGAAGTATTCTGGCATTTAGGGATGCTTAAATTTACAACCCTGTTTTCCATTTCTTGTCTTTGATGTATTGATTGCTACTCTTCTTCCAAGATGTTTGCTGTGCATCATACTTTGATTTTAGGAAAGGTCTCAGGCATATATTGACAGCTCTGGATATCTGGATAAGACAAATTTCTCCTGCTGAACAAATTTATTTAATTTATGTTTATGGTTTGCCCATATCTGACTGTTTGGATTTGAACTGTATATACAGAATAATTTGACTACCAGTTCCATAGGTCTTTCAGTTACAAGGCACTACATTTAGTTGGAGGCAAAAATATTAAATAGAATCAGCTACAGGAAAAGTCATTCCTTATTTTTCCCAAAAGGAGATTTTTTTTTTCTATTTCACCCAATACAAGGTTCAGCACTTGGAAGAGAGGGAACAAAAAATAATAGAAATCCTTAGGCATGATTTTTCTCTTGATAAAAAACAATTGAAATGAGCTGTAATTTGGCTTCTTCATTAACGTGAAAGTAAAAAATAGACAAGGTAGACTAACAAGTACATGACTGAGTCTAGAAGGAAACAGAGGTGAAAAGAGGTTAGAAATGAGAAGAAAAGAAACAGTGGTTTGTTGAATGCTTGAGGTAATCAAAGCCCTGCATGAATGCCCAGCTAGGTGAACTTTGTCCTCTTTACTCTTTGATCTTGGTCTGCAAATGATTCATGGCATTTAGTGACCCGCTACACCAGCTTGCCAGTAAGTTATTAGGGAATCATAGCTCCTCTTTTTTACATCACATCCTTGTTTTCACTTTATTCCCTGAATCTCTCAGTGATATATGTACGAGTGTGAAGGAAATATCAATGACATGGAGAAGAGCTCTCTCTCTCTGTATGGCACCTCTGCCACCCCTGCCTTTGTGCTTAAATGCTTTCTCTTGTGTTTGGTTCTTGCTGGTCCTGATATTTTGCAATATATATAATTTTCTCTAACTGTGTTCTCTAATCGTTTTACACAGACTGAATCAAAGGACACCCTCCAGGGGAGAAAGAACTCATCTTAAGATCAAAAGTTATGCTTTATTTGCTGTTGGAGGTCACCTAATCTGAACATGGCATTCATAACCTATTTTCAAATTGCTGTTTAGTCACTCTAAGTGGTTTAACTCATACATAATGTCCTAAAAAAGCCCTGATCTTGGAACACTCTGAGGACCACCCAAGAACTGCTGAACATTTCCCATTCCCATGACAACTGAAGGCTCAAAGTAACCTCCTGTGCTGTGCCTTAACTCTTCTGGCCAGAGCAGGACTGAAAGGCTTCACCCTGATGCATCTGCTCCCCACATTTCTTGTTTGTAACCGTCAGCTGATAGATACCAACTAGACCAATGCATTTCTTCAGGTGTGTCTCAAAGAGAGAAGAGGTCAGCAGTACACTTTTTTTTTTGTACATTGAACAACCTCTTGTAGCTATCCAGTGAAAGGAAATTAAATGTGGGAATCTTTGTAGGAAAATTCCAAATCCCATCACTCAGTAGATAAGCACAAGCCTTCATGAAAGAACCTACATGTGAGTCACAGGAAGGAGTGTATTATTTAGTTCCCCTTTTTTATTTATAGTCACTGAGACCTGTTAAAGCTGTGAAGCTGCACAAATGTTTGCCAAACTGGACCTGTATTCTTTTAACTCATAGTGTACCTGGAAACATAATACAACATCATAATAGATTCTTGAGGGTATTCTCAGGGGGAAAAGGTGATGTTGTGAAGTGATTTCAAAAGGAATCAGAAGAAGTGTTCAGTCATAAAGCTAATATTTGGCAAGGGAAAAGTGGAAGTCACTTTTTAGTTGTCACTAAGACAACACAAAATATGTCTTCAGACGATAGCGAATGGAGAAGGATGCAAGAAGGCTGTGCCAGATGGCAGAACCAACAAATGAAAAAATAAACTGTACCACTCACAGGAATTTTACATGGCAACATATAGTTTAGTGAGCTTTATTCTCATCTGTGTAGACTAGGAATAGGGAATAACCCTATTAAAGTCAATGAAGTCAGCAAGTCCAGCTGAAGACATGGAGAAAGATGTGCCTTTATCAAGCCTTTTTGTTTAAGCCACACTTTGGTGCTTTTTATGCTGTTTGTTTTCCCCTTGTAACACACTAAGGGCCAAATTACAAGGTTGTCTAACACCCAACCCTGTCAGCATCATTGCTCCACTTTCAGAAACAACACATGGAGAACACAGCAACACACAGCAAACAACACTCTGTGGATCAAAGCAAGATGACCATGCTGGGCAATAGTAACAAATAGTAGACAAATAGGAACAGACTCATCATCATCATCATCATGGCTGGGCTTCGCAAATGAAGATTTGGGAAGGGCACTACCCGCGTTTGTTACAAGCGCGCTGGTGGCTAAAAAGGCCAATACGAGAGAGGCACATCTGGTTTCAACAGGCACAGCAGAAAGACTCCTTAGGAGATATATTCTGCAAGGCACGATTCTTTCTGTGTTGTCTTTTCTCCTCGAGAGTGATCCTGCGTGCGTTCTCAAAGGCATCAGCAACCTTAAAGATAGTGTGTCTCCAGACCTCCCGGTTGGAGGTCAGAGTAGACCAGTTATGGTGATCAACATGGCCAAGGCTGAGATGTTGTTTCAGGGAGTCCTTGTATCTTCTCTTCCGGGCTCCTCTCTTGCGGCAGCCGGTGGCAAGTTCACCATAAAGCAAGATCTTAGGGAGGCGGTGATCTTTCATCCTTGAGATGTGCCCTGCCCAGCGCAGCTGTGTTCTCAGTAACATGGCCTCAATACTTGTGACTGCTGCTTGTTCTAGAACAGATGTATTGGTCACATAATCTGACCAGTGGATGTTTAGAATTGTACAGAGACAGCATTGATGGAAGCATTCTAGGAGACGCAGGTGGTGGCGGTAGATGACCCATGATTCAGATCCATATAAGAGAGTAAACAACACTATGGCTCTGTAAACACTGATCTTTGTACTTTTCTTCAGGTGTTTATTTTGCTAAGCTCTTTTATGAAGCTTTCCAAAGGCACTGTATGCCTTTGCTAACCTGTTGTCTATCTCTCCATCAATCTTACCATCTGAGGAGATGAGGCTGCCTGGGTAATTAAACTGCTGGACAGATTTGAGCTCTGATTCGCCAATGGTGATATGGGGATGGTGGAAGTCTTCCTGAGGTGCCAGTTGATAGAGAACCTCTGTCTTCTTTAAGCTGACTTTGAGCCCAAAGAGCAGACTACAGCCTCAAAAACAGCCGTTTGAGCTTGCCTGCTCTCACCAGTGTGCAGCCCAGGACTGGCAGAGCCAGAGGTGCTTGGGCAGTCATCACTCCTAGAGAGATGTTACGCCTCATCTCCTCTGCATGCCAGCTGCTTCTGCTCCTTCATTGTTTCCAGAGGAGGCAGGAACAAGCAATTACAAATCTGCGCACATACTGGCCAATCTGTTGTCCCATTACATCCCTAGATCTGCCCTCACTATGTTTAATGCAGTAGTGAAGTCAAACAGAGTGTTCAGCATTCAAAGGACGTGAGCAATTTTAAAGGAAAAGTGAACCCTTTGACAAAAAAGAACTTTGAAGGAACTAAAAATTGTATTTATAGCATGTAGAATACATTCTTGTGATGAAATGACTGAATCATATACAGCAGACAGCTTCCATAACACCAGCAGTGCTAAGCACAAAGCCATTTGAACAGAAACATGGGGCTCCTGGGAGGTTTTGCATGTTTTGCTTATATTTTCCTTTGGCAGCATGAATGCCAGAGAAGAAAACCACCTGATTTGTTTTTTCCTCCAACTTATTTTCCCAGACATCTGCAAGTCAGCATCCACCATAGGCAAAATTATGTAGCGATGACCAAATATGTCAGACTTACAGGTAAAATGGATACAGTGGCTCAGAAAGTTCACTGTTCTCAAAGTGAGTCATGCCTGTTATTTACTCCCTCAGGTTGCAAGTAGTGTTTATTGAGGTCTTCTCTCTATCTTTTACCATCATCAACTGCCCTTTGCCTTGTGGACAACACCGAACAAATATGACCCTGTCATAAGAGGAAGAGCCTAGAAGAAAGGTAAGGGTTGACGTAAATACAGCACCAACCAGCCCATGTATTCATCAACTGATCTCAGGAAAGCCTCCTGAGATGTTTATCAAGTTAAATGCTCAGTTCCTTTCTTCCTTTTCCCATTTTTCCTGCTGTCTTTGGATTTGTTACCTATTCAGAATAGTTATTTGTTCTTGTCTTGGTAAATAGGAGTCCTTTGGAACCACGTGCTGGCTCTTCTGGGTGACTTTTCCAGAACAGTTCCATTCCTGAGCACTACAGTTCAGTAGCAAAGCATTATGAATTGAAGCTTAATGAGTCCATTACTCATCTCCTCTCTAAATACAATATGTCCTGATTTCTGAGCAACGTGGACAGTTGCAGAGTTTTTTTGGCATGGTGAGGATTCTCTTAGGTCATCCTCACTATGGTTATAACCATAAGAGAACAATTGTTAAGGACCTGTTAGTTTTCCAACATTTTCCTGCAACCCCCTCAGTAGCCACCAAGAGCATCTCTTTTCCAATGAAAAGTCACTTGCTGCTGTCAGTAGGGCATCAATGAGTTGTTTCTCTGACTCAGCAGCGAAAAGACACAGAGGGACAACCTATAAAGCCAATTAAGGTATTTTTTTCAGTACTCTTTTGTGCAGCATAAATGTATATCCTATATGTGCTCTCCAGGTTGGCTCTACCAGTTTGTGTTCGTACTGGAATGGCTGAAGCAGTATAGCTTATGAGTACAAGCTGTTGTTAACCACTGAGAGACTACGGAAAAGCCTCTGCTGGCAAGTTGTAGTCTGAACCTCCCTCTACCTGCCTGTGCCTGCTGCACCAGAGGAAACCTCGAGACAAGGATGGAAGACAAGTGGGTTTCAATAAATCACTTTCCTGTCAGTGTGGAGGTCCATTTTCAGAGCATGTAGAGAAGAAAAGGTTTGAGTAGGCTGCTCAGCCCTCCTTCCTCACTCCGGAGATACCTGGGGAGCTTATCAATACTGGAAAGTTTGAGAAGAACCTGAGTTTCTTGTCGTTCAGGTGATTTTGAAAGGCTCTGGGCAAGGAGGTCTGTTTTGCAATGTACTCTCTTTTCCCTTCATTGTGCATTCATTCATTCATTCCAGTGTTACAGACTGGAATTAAAAGTCTTAGAAGGGTAAACTTCTGAACAAAAATCAGTCCTGAAACTAAGAAGAAAAGGTTGGCACCCTCCACTTAACCTTATCTGGTGTAGATAGCCTCTGTTTATAGTCACTGGTCATTGATAGGTATCTCCCAAAAGCTATTCAGCCCACCCAGCTTACACTCCTGTTTTAGGATGCCAGTGGTGGTCAGTCTCCACTGATTATAAAGATAAGCTCTGTGCCAAGGTTTGCTTAGATGCTTGATTTCTAGGAGAGTAAATTTGGGTAAAATTAATGCTCTCCTACATGATAAGATTTTGTTAGGACTTTGGGCATGATCACCACAGACTACACCGAGCTTGGCCACTGTAACCCCTCATTTGGTATTGCAACTTCTGCTCCTTAGGCACTGCCTTTCTTCACTGACACTGTAAGAAGCCAAAGACTGGCCATTCTAGATCACAGAAGTCAAAATCTGTCTTTCCTTTCTTCCCTTCAAATACCAGGGCTGTCAAACCTTATGTTTGAGATAGCATTTAAACTGCAAAATAGCTTTCATTTTTTATTTATACATACATTTCTTTGCCTCTCCTCAAGCTGCCTGAATGTCACATTTTGGCAACCAAGGCGCAAAAGAACCATGTGGGACTGAGACTGAAAGAGGCCTCTGTGCCACAAGAGAAGTCATGAGTGCCTTGGGGACAAGGCAATCTCCTTGGAGGTAATGAAGAGATTTGATGAACGAGGGTTGTTAATTCTGCTGGAACACAGTAATGTAGGGGTTGGTGTTATCAACACTTGGAGCCAGATTTGCAATGTATATTTAGTTGCAAGACACCCAGGCTTCATTTGCCATTAAGAGGGACACTGTCCATGCCTATATTATTTGTGAATTTGATTCTTATGGCCTAATTTTCAGAGGCAGCTCTCTCCTCCAGCCCCAGTGACTATAACTGCACTTTGGGGGATTTACTTCCTGTGAATTCTTAACTAATGTGAATTGCCCTACTGATTACACAAGGGGGAAATACTACTGCTGTATATAAGAGCTACAGTATTGGACTCTGGAAGGTTAAGATTCTCCTGGCTATGATCAGCTTCCCTGTTTGATCAGCCTCCAATAAACTGAAGACAAGCGAAGCATCAGCGTACAGTACACAATTATATTTCTGGCACATCACATCTTGCTGTGTTATCTCTTCTTAAATCAGAACCTGTTTTCACTCTTATAATTTAATAGACCATCATATGAAACCTTGAATAGGAGGCGTTTCTTTTAAATTTGACTGAAAATAGCTGCCCTTCCACAGTGAGCTCATGTCTTTTTGTTTTGTTTTATGGTCAGTTTACTTCCCCTTCACACATACACATATTCATTAATTTATTTTGTGCTTTATTTTAATAGTTTCCTGATATGAGTTCTCAGAAAAAGAGTTAGCTGTTATGCAAATGGACATTTTGCAGACATAGGACCTATTCTTGAACATACTCAAACATAGTCAAGTATATGTGCTTATACTGTTCATTTGAAAACCAGTAGTTTTAATGGCTGATGAGGAAGAGTTTAATTTACGTTTAAATTAATTTTTTTCACCTCTGGGTTTTGTTAATCTCTGTGATGGTAAATTTGCAAAATAAGTTGTATAAATTTGTTGACTGGATATAACAGAAAGCCCCCTTCTAAGTAAAAACTAGGCCCTGTTCCTACTGAGTCAGGTACCTGGAGTGAGGTTGTGGGAAAAGCTATACTCTTTATTTTTTCAGCCCTCTAAGGCAAGAGGGCTTCAAGGCTGTCCTACATTATCTTCTGCTTCCCAAGTATTTCTGTTAGCTGTGGGAAATGGACATCTGCTGGGAACTGTCTGTACAATTCCTGGTCAGCTGTCTGACCTTTTCAGTCTCCACTTATGTCTTAAATCCCTTTTCTGTGTACAGTGCAATCAGGTTTCTTGTCCCAACATGGATTGTCCATTTTTATGAATACACATTGCAGCAGGAAACGTGGACATTCTGGTAGGCAAATGTTCTTGATAAAGTGCAGGTGGTATATTGAAGAGAGCTGTATCTCTGGGACAAAATTTTTCTGCATTATCTGTCAAAAAACAAGTTGCTTAGGGAGGGTAAGAAGGGAATTCACATTCCCAGAGTTCAGTTAAACTAAAAAGCCCTGCTCTTAGCCTGACATTGGTTTCTGGGTCTGAGTACCACCATGGTCCATGTTTGTTCAGAGAGGCTGTGACTGATCACCAACAATGATGCAACTGATTCCTTTGCAGACCTGAAGAGACTTGCAAGGGGATTAACACTAGAGAACAGAAAATGCTCTTGACACAAAAGACCTCATTAGAATAGATTTATTTATAGAAAGAAGACAAATTTGAAGATGTCAGTTATATTCCATAGAAAACCTCTTTGTGATACAATGCTTCAAGAGCAGAATACATGTAACATATTTACTCTGTAAAGGTTATTCAGGACCAATGCATTAAATGTGGTGGTGAAAATTAATCAGGAGATTTGGAAAAAAACCCATACCCTCAAGTAGGAGCCAAGTTAGGTTTCAGGTATGTTCGAAGCTGCGTCTGTTGCTTCAAAAAGCTATAACATTGGTTAAAGGGATTCTGAGCTTGTTTGCAGGAGGATACAGTTTCAACGGACTTGCAGAAGTCTGAAATGTTAGAGTGGCATTAAGACAACTTGATTACACCTCACTAGGCCAATGTGACTTTTCACAAAGCATTTGTTACAATGTCCAGAAGTCTGCTGAACAACCAATTCAATTATTTCCTCCCTCTACTAGGCCACTGTAACTGGGAAAAAAAAAAAAAGAAGAAGAAGAAGAAGAAGAAGAAGAAGAAAATTAAATCACAGTGTTTTGTGCAGTTTAGCAGGATAACCAAAAAGACATCCAGCAAGTGGCAGAGGTTCAACCATAGAGTCCTTTGTCTCCTAATCAAAGGGAAAATAATGGGAGGGCATATCCCTGTTGCACAGTAACTTGTTTTTGTACTTTGTGCTTGAAGCAAGAGACCTGATCTTGATCTTCAGGGCAAACCTGATGTCCAAAGAGACCTATACAGAAGGTATAAGCACTAAGCACTTAAAAAAATCTAAATCCTGCAAGACAATTAAGATCATGTTTGATTTCACAGCATGGTGATAGAGCTAATCTGTCAGCACCACAATTAGCAACATGTAAGTGCCAACCCAAATGTCTGTTTCAACTCTGCTAAACAATACCTGTCCATGGGAAGGAGGTGAGAGTATTCCAACTGACTCAACAGCTTGAAGCTCCCTTGGTGTCAGCAGGGACTTCAGAAGGTGGTGAAGTCCTGGTTCCATGGAAATGCTGTTAAGATTGAGAGCATGGCTCTCCTTTAAAAGAAGACCCTATGAAACTTTACAGAAGATCTGTATTTCATAGAAACATTCCATGTAACATTATAAAAATAGTACAGAGTATCATGACTGAGCACCAGAATTGTCAGTGTTATAACCTTAGGTCTGCCCCTTGGTCCATACCAGTCTGGCAAGGCATGCTTTTTAGGATAGATGGCAGGCTGAAAGGAAATCGTGGACAGTCTGTAGCTTCTATTAAAATGTGTCTCAACATATTTCTCTCAGCAGCTCTCAAGTCCCTCCCAAGCCAGCGGCTGTGTGTACCTCCCGTCCTATCATTGTTCTTCCCTCACCCCCACTTCCTAAAATAGCAGTCTTTGTTTTCTGATACCTCTTTCCTGTGGAATCTGAGAGAGGGGAAATTCTGCTACTGCCTTGTGGATACCCTGTATATTCTGAGAAGGACTTTTATCAAATTTACTGTCAGCTAAGCACTACCTGGTTCAGGTGATTCCTGAATGCTATGGGAGGTGACACTTTAGAGAACAGCCATACCTGGACTATATCTTTTTCCTGCTCCAACAGGCAGCAGGAATGTGGCACAAATGTTCTCCTTTCACTGCAGTTAAACTGTGACCCAGAATGCTACAACTGTAAATTCATCAGCTTTATCCAAATTAACAATAATCGGAAGAAAATTTCTGCAGGTTAAATTAAAAAATGTTTTCATTTCATAAGACCTTCAGCACTTCAACCATAAAGTAGACATCAGTTGATTGTTGATAATTTTGTCATATTTTAATTCTCACTTATAAGCATGTTGTATTTTTTAGAAAAGATGAAAAGCAAACTATAAAGTTCCCCAGTTCTTAGTGGTGAGTATTTTGGTGTATGGCTCATGACATTTGAATGTAAATATATCTTACCTGAACAAAAGAACTATTTTCAGTTCCTCATCAACCATTAATAATGTTATTGGTAACCAATACCTCACTGTATCATAAAGTGTGCTGATTTGGACTCTTTGCAGAATGCAGATCCCCATTATTTGGGGGAAAAAAAAAAGATTATGTAGGTGACTGTCTCCATTAATTAAGCTATTCAAATCCAATTAGCTGTTTCCAGAGGGTACTTTATCTCATTACAGTTCTCTCAACTTAAACAATAGAACAAACAAGCAAAAACTATAAACCCAATCTCACTGTTCCCAATGTCACAATGAGTTAATGTCCTGCTCAGCAGAAAGTGAGCAGTGATGCTAACACGTCTGGTCAGGCATCTAAGGAGGGGAGCAAATCTGATGTTCATTAGAGATTAGAGACACTCATCACTGTCACAAGAGAATGGCAAGTCTTTGCACCACAAGAGTAGTGGCCCACCATGATCCTCATATTCCAGCAGCAA